GCTCTTTGCTTCCTCTGCGCTCTTCAGTTGTCCCCCTTTGCCCTAGGGTCTTTCGAAGCAGCGCTACCCGTTAGTGCGTCCTGCGGTTGTTGCTTCTTCTGATGCTGCTCCTGTCCTTTGGGTGCAATTGTGTGGATTCTTGGCTGCAGCAGCAGGCAGCCACCTGCAGCGTGATTCAACAGAGGCCACCAAAAGTACTTTAGAGACTTGGTTTCGCATTCGTAGCCATATCATGCACCCAGCTACTTTTTATGCGAGTGCGACTGCTGCCTTCTGCTTAGTGTGCAGCGACACGTCCTTCTTCTTGTTGGTGCCTCCACGCCAAAGCCCCACACAGTTCCTGGATGCAGCATTGAACCCCAACCGTGTGGGGCGCATCATGCGTCGCTTTTGCTGTTTGCTGCTCCTGCAGCAGCAGCGGGCTGCTACTCGTATGCAGCATCAGTTGGAGGAGCAGCTGGAGCAAGTGGAGACACAGCTGAAGCTGCTACAACAGCAACTGCAGAGCGGGCCAGTGGACGCTCTGCAGTTGAGTAGAGGGTTGTGGCTGGAGAAGCAGCATCGTAACCTCAGGCAACAACAGCGCCAGCAGCAGCAGTGGCTGCGCATTATGCGTGCTCAGCAACAAAGACGCTGGCAGTTGCTGCAGAACGAATTGCTCTGGAGGAGCGGCTCTCGGCTGTTCAGCCACACAATGCGAGTCATAGGTACAAGCCCTTAAGGTTTAGTTAGATCAGTACATCTTAATCAGGCCTCCTTTTGTGATGCTGTCAGCTTTGCTGTTGCCGGTGCTGCTGCAGCGAATAGCCTTCTGCTGCGGGAGCGAGGAGAGGGCAGCTTGGTGCTCCAGCAGCTCACCTCGTGGCCGCTGTTGCCATCGAGGTGTCTCTTTTTTCTGGAGCTTCTGGGGAGTGCGCATGCATCTTCTGGGCACGACCTTGCGGCCATCCAGTTTTTCAGGTGGGCTTTTTGAGCCGTATGCCAAGGTGCTCTCATTAAGCCGACAGGTTCAACCTTTAGAGTCAAGCACACCAAGTAATACGCCTACCGGATTCATGGCTGGCGGTTCAGGTTTCGAAGATTGGGCTCTAGGGATTGCGTTCTGGGGAGCTTTCGTGTAGGAAGGCGGCGGAGCACTCTGGTGTCTCTGGTGAGGCTCTTGTGGCGTGGGCCGCTGCTGCTGTTCGGGTGAAGGACATGGCCGAGATGCAGAGAGTATCGCTTGCTGCCCTTGACATTTTATCTCCGGAAGAGCCCTACTTTTGGTGCGGCCGTAGCGCGCACGTCTCTCGCGGCTGCTGCTGCTACAGCCCATGCTAGCCTGTGGCTTCAATTATTGGTCGTGTTGTTTTCGCTGCTCGTAAGAATGAACTGTTGGCTGGGTCGCATCTAGTTCCGACAATCTTGACGGCTTTCCTCCTACATCTGCAAGTACAACCTTTGCTGCAGGTGCATTCTAGGGCTATATTGTTCCTGTGCGGATCTCGAGGACGAGGCTGTGGAGGCCTTCTACAAGGTGTGTCTTCTTTTGCTGAGTTACATTTGTCTCCGCACAGCCGCCATCTCTTCATGTGACTGCTGTCATTTTAGTAGCTTTTTGATGCTTACTTGCACTGGTCAGGCCATACATTTAGGAGACTTTTTCTCGGATGCATTCGCCCTTTGTGGCAAAGAGTTGGCGCAGCAGGACCAGTTGGAGCAAGCAAGTCCTTAATGAATACAGCAGGCGTTCTCTTTTGCATCCACCTGCTGCCTGCTTTTACAGAGACTGCTGATGCACTAGAACGTCAACCAAACGCTTCTTCTTTGTGTTTTACCGCGAGTTCCTACTGTTGTCGCTATAGGCATACGAAGTGTTTGAAGTTGGACTTTCTCGGCACGTGGCGTCTTACCCTCTCCTTTCCGGCTTTGCTGGTTTACTTCAACGGCAGGAGAAGCACGCTGAGGCAGCTCAGGTGCTCTGCAGCTGCCTCCGTTTGTTCAGCTCCCAAGTACCTACTGTGCTGTCGCGTCTCGCCTACTGCATGTACGCCGCAGGCCACCCGCAGAAGGCGGCAACACTATATAAAAGAGTAAGGCACGTTTCGCTAAGCAGATACTCTAAGAAATGTATGCACATCGAAAGCATAGCAGCTTGCGGAGAGAGGTCGTCTTTGTATGGAAGTAGGCGTGCTGCCCACAAAGGATATCTGTACAGTGCTGGTACTGCCGCAAGCAACAAAGCACCACCAAGAGCGTATCAGTGTGAATTTCAGCATCACCTGCACGAACTGCAACGATGACTGTGAGGTTCACTGCAGGCGGTTTCCAGACTTCCCAGGGATGCAGGGTCACGCTTACATTTGGGGAAGCTGCAAGTCGCTGCAGGGCAGTATAGCGTGAGGTCTCTCATTACCTAGGTCTAACGGTAGCAGAGGATTCACTAAGTACACATTAGCGCGTGTATACATACTTATATATAAACAAATATGCACTCATTTATCTGTTCATCAGTGCATAGACACCTAAAAGCATGTACACTGTGTGAAGATGGGCATGAGGGCGGCTCCCTACGCAAGTTTCTTGAGGACCCTCCGCCAAATATTGTGTCAAAATGCGTGTGCGTATGAACACGCTGATCACTTTACATTAGGGAGATAGGAGCATTGACCGTGCTTCGGATGTGATGGATGTGACTATTAGGAGGCTGCAAAGAACCTGCTGATTGCCTCTCGGCTGTCTCCCCAACAAGTTAGTCGCATCACTGTAGACTGTCTATACTATCATAACTTAACTGGCTCAGATATGGTGCTACTTTTTCTGCTGAACTTGAAGTCTACGCGGGGCCATTTAGGGCAGCGGGCTATTGTTTGTGTCCTGTTGCAGCTGTCCACAGAGTGCTTTTTGGGTTTTGTAGCTGCTGTTGCTGCTGAGGCCCCGCTGGATGTGTCTTTATTTTCTTTTGTGCAGCCTTCTGCGCACATTTGGTGTTGCAGCTGTCCACAAAGTACTTTCTGGGCCACTAGGTGTGTCTTTGTTGTCTTTCGTGCAGCCTGCTGCGCACATTTGGCTGTCGCGGATCTTCGTGAAGCTGAAAAATGTGAGGCATGGGTCTAAGGTAGCAGACTGTCTAGCCAGGTGGGTTTTGTGTTCGCGTTCCAGTCGACGGTTTTTGGTCCAGCTTCCAAGTATAGCCTTTGTCTTGTTTCAGACACGCACGGCTTGGCAACACATGAACGCCGCGGCACTGCTAACAGATTTTGCGGAAGGCGCTTGCTTACATGTGAGTGTCTAGCTGAAACGGCTGCGGTCAGCGCTGATAAAATCACCCGCGGCAGCCTCTGCTACTGTGGGCGTACTGGTGGTTTTTTACTTTGCTTCCTTAGCTATCACTCTGCCGCCAGCAAACTTCTTTGCAGCGTCTATGATGTCATAAATCTTAGAATATGAGCAACAGAAGAACTCACGATAGCGTCGCCAGCACTTCGCAGTTGTGGCTGCAGCTGTTCACGCGCCTGCTAAAATTCTTCTTGCAGCAACCTTGAGCAATATAGGTGGAGGCTGCGTTTTTGCGTCTTCTCTTTCCTTCGCATTGTTCCCTGCCTTCGCAGGAGGTGATCCACATATGGCATGGAACAGGTACAGGTGATGTCTATAAGTCTTCAGGCAAGTACTTCACTCTAAGCTCACGATGAATCTAAACTTCGCTGAAGCCGAAGGCCCAGTTAGACCCCACGCTGCAAGTAATTCTTTAAGATGTGCTCTTTCACAGGCAGTGAAGCTTGAGCTTAGGACTTGGGGCTTACGCATCCGTCTTCGGCAGGAAGATTCCTGGTTGAAAGTGCCTTCAGTTCTCAGTTAGAATTACGGTCCTGTCATAGCTGGCGGTATTACAACAGCAGCAGTAGCCAGAACAGCGGCTGCCAGTTCCACCCCTCCAGAGCCATCACAAAACCGCATCAGCCCAAACTGAAGGTAATCAAGAGCGGACAAAGGCATGCAACACGACCTATCTTTCTGTGGCCCCCTTTAGCGGCCGCTGCCAGTACACAAAGGCTGCCGTGGCACGGGAGGCGGAGCTGCTGCTGTTGCAACAAGTTGTTGAAATCGAGGCAACAATGCACTCTCGCACAGCTGCGGAGTTGACTGCAGTCTTTGCAAGAGTGCAAGTAGCGTGTGCCCCGTCCCCAAAAGCTTGCCTGTGCGCCGCCCTGAAACTAGTGATCTTTTCCCTCCAACGGTTTCGAAGTGGCCACATTTAGTGTGCTCTTGGTGTTTCCCTTTGCCCATTCTATACTTCTTACGGTGCATTCATTGCGGGTACTGAGTACGCCGCAGCTCCCCGCAGATTGAATCAATGTACACTGCAATACACTGGCTTCATCACATACAGCACCTCATAGCCTACCCATTGGCGGATATGCCGCAGAAAATAAGAAGTGGCGAGACCTGCAGCATTCGGCTACGTGTGCACATATCTGTATACGTGCACCCGATGCACACTGGTGCACGTTAGTGCGCCCTTCGGCAGCAGCGCCAAGCCGTTTCTACCATAATACAGTGGATAACTGTTTCCGGCTTGTGGTGGCGTTTTGCTGTTCGCCGGCTTCCGGGTCGCTTCAGGTCTACCACGTGCCAACTTCTTTGGGCCGCACAAGCCTCTCGCCACGTGCATACTCAATTGCTGGCTGATTCTGCTTGTATGTGCGTCGCTTTGGACTAACGTTTCATAGTTGCTTCAGAGAGAATCCCTCCCGACCTAGCAAATGCAAAGCCCCCTACACTATCAGCCGCGGGCGAGCGGATGCGTTGTCACTACGGGCATTTGCCTACTACAATAGTATGAGGCGCTGCGAAATGCAGGAAACAGTCCGCCATATGTTATTAAAATGGGATAAACGGTTGCTGAAGGGGGACTGTTCATGCTTGCTTCGTGGCCCGCACAGGTTCCCGCATTCACAGAATGCGGCCCAAACACCGGTACCTTGCCTCCAATCTAACTCTTCAGAACCCCGAAGGGCTCACCTCCTTGCGGATGTCTTTGCAGCAGCATTTGCTGCCGCTGGAGCCGTCTTGACTGCCGGTGCTGCAGAGGCAGCCTGCTGAGCCTTCCCATGCTCGTGCCTCTTATGTCTCTTCTCTGCCGCAATCTTGTGCAGCAGCTCCTTGTACTCCTTCAACGCCTCCCTCGATGCCTGCGCTTGCTTCTTAACCTTGTGACGGTAGAGCCTCTTTCTGCGTATGCGGCTTTCCGTAACTAGGCGTTGTATGCGGGGGGCCTTGCTCTTGTTCTTGCCCTCTATTTTGCGGCGAACGACATACTTGGTCACATCGGCCTCAGGTCCCAAGTTAAACAGTTTGCGGATGTGGTTGGCTCTCTTGGGACCCAGGCGGCGTGGCTTCTCTCCACCAGTCAACCCCGGGATGTCTGCGGGACCCTTCTGCAGCATCACCAAATTCAGCACGGAAAGATCCGGACCCACAATCGCTCCACGGACGCTCTTGCGTTTCCTCTCACCCGTTCGGCGTGGCCTGAAGCACTTCATACCAGTGCGGAACAGGAGGCGAACACGGTGGTTGGCGAGAATGCCCTGCATCATGGGGAAGCCCTGCTTGTCGTTGCCGCCGGTTATGCGGAAGAGGTACCCCTTAAATTCCTCCCCTAGAGAGTCTCCAGGGACCTCCGCCCCCATGCGTCGCTCAAAGAAAGGCAACAGCTTCTTCTCATCGTCGACCTCCACAGTTTTCTGGAGCCCGCAGGCCGGGTTCGCTATGTTTAGTTTCATTCTTGCCGAAAGTGCATTAGCTCCAGAACCACCAACAGCATAAATTCCTACAAAAAAGCAGCCACACGGCACCTTTACGAACATACAATCAAGGCCAGATCGCCCTGCAGCAGCAGCAGCGGGGTCAACCTGGCGGCAGCAGCCGCTAGAAGCCCTGAAAGGGAAGCCCAGGTTCTTCATACAACCCAAGTCTTCGCGTGCCTAATTCAGCAAAATGCAAACACAAAAATACTACTTTTGGCTAACAATCTAATATATTTTGCTTACTTACCGTTTTTATTCAAAAATCCAGCACATCACGACTAACTGCCCCAAAGTATGAGTACCCCACACTATCTAGAAGCAACACGGCTCTTCCCCACACAGCCAAGCAAGGGTCGCCTCCGGGGCTTTCCATAGCCCTAAACTGCCAACAAACGCAAAGGAAAATTAAAAACAGAAAGAATGTGGGTGAATACAGTTTTTTGTCATGTGTGCGAAAAGCGAAAGTGAATCGGTACACTCTGCAGCAACAAGGAGGACGTCAGATTCATCAATATGGTGCATACTAGTGAAGCAGGGTAATAGTTCCGTACGCCTCATATGGCGTAGCACTTTTGAGTGAGAATTATAAGTGCCCTTTTTGGCGGAGCGTAGTAATTGAGGAATTTAGGTGGCTGCTTTGACCTTGATTCCCACTCTGCAGAGAGTTGGCTGTGCTCTGGGGTAGTTCTGTGGTAGTCCACGTGTCTCGGTCTCAGTTTCTAACTATCAGCTACATTAAAGATGGTGTTGCGATTTTTTCTAGCGATGCGCGCTTAAGCGCAGTAGCGTAGGGACGCGTATCCAGGATTCTATGGTGCCCAGTTGGAGTGGAGCGGAGTTGAGTAGGGTGTGGGTCCACAGACTGAAGCGCCACGCAACCTCTCGAAGGTGTCTCGGGGACACTCGAGTGTCGCTCGTTACAGTTCACTCAAACCCCCGTACAGGCGAGGTCAAGGAGATGTATGCCAACAGTGCACCGACGGAAAAGTGTTCAAGAGCGCTCTGCTGGGTATATCGCAGTGTTGATGAGACAGCGTTCGAAGGGAACTGCGCATGCCGCAGTACTAAGGCGAAAGATAGTGGAGGGGTTCCACGTGTGCAGGGGAACGGATTCTGAGTTTATCAGCTAGGTCACCCGTAATGTATGCGTAGAGTGTTTGTGTAGTGCACAAGCATTATAATAGGGCTTGCTGGTGACCGTAAGAAGATAGCTAGCTGGTGACCTATAAGGTTAACACGCTGAACGAGGACAGGAACGTCTTACGAATATCGAAGTAAGGCAGTTTATCAGCAAATTAGCATGTATAGACTAGAGGTGTCTCTGAAAACCTGGAGATTGGGGCTGGCGATAGCGCCAGCACGGGTGCAGGCCTCCTCCCCACAGGGCTAAGGAAGCAAGAACCGTGAGTGGGGAGATTTTAAGGGACAATCGTCTTCAGAACTTGAGAAGATTGCTACATTTAATGATATTTGTGCATTTATTTCATAAGAGATGCGTCGAAGGTAGAAGGTTTTTCATCTTCGCCCTATTTGTGGGCCAGTTAGCCGCATAGTCGCAGCAGTAGGTGCTGTGCACGACTGTTTGAGTTAGTCAGCGCGGTAGGGATTGGCAATTAGGGATGAGGGAGAGCCAATAAAATACGCTGTAGCACTGCCTCACTAACATCGTAGAGACTTTTCGTGTTTTTCCCCTTGTGGAAACCCACACACATAAACTCTACTGGCCCAGAGTCTTGGTATATTTTGTTTTTGACTCAGTACTACTTTTGCCGCATGATATACTTAGGGTCGTGCAAGAGTACTTAATGTATCCGTGTCACAGCAGTTTCTTTTCTCGAATGTTACTCTGCACCGTTTCGAGGTTTTATTCTCCCCCACCTCTTCGTGTAGTCCTGATGTTTTTTTCCAAAGGTGATAAGCAAAATCTCGATAGTGGTCAATCTGAATGATGCATGCTGACACCTTTGTAGCTTTCCTTGTAGGTCTTGTAATTCGCAGGCACTACAACAAGCTTTGACGGTAACCGTAAGAGGCTAGATAGCTGGCAGCCTATAAGATGTCAGCACCCAGAATGAACGCAGAAACTTCTTCGGAAGTGGGGCAATTTATCAGCAAGATAGCGCGTGTAAACTAGAAGTGTCTGAATAGCCTAAGATTGGGGCTGGCGAAAACCCTGGCACCGGTACGTGGCACCGCCCCACCAGGTCAAGCAAGCAAGAAGTATGATAAGGGGTCTTTTAAAGAAAGTTCGATTAACAGACTCGAAGGATGACGGTTTATTGGTTACTTGGTATTGCTCCATGAGGTATGAGTCAAACGTTGAGGATTTGTCATAACGGCGCCCTATTCGTGGGCCAGGTAGTAACGTACTAACAGCAGAGGACGCTGTGTACTACAAGGATTCAGCTGCCATTGAAAACGAGGTGGGAGTTCGGGAGTACACCGATCCGGAGCGAAGAGGCTCCATGCGAGAAGGCAGACAGCAGGTAGAAGCCTGCAGGGGTAACGGAAGAGGGCTACAGGCCAGAAGAAGCACAGATTGTACACCAGTGATGGCGAGAAACTTGTGCGAAGGAAACGTACAAGCCAGCGGGAGCATCGCGGGAGCATTGTGTTATGTACCTGCGATAGTGGTACTCCGAGTTGAGCGCGCAGCGAGCCCATGTGAGGCGCTCTTGGACACAGCGGCCTCGAGAAGCTTCATTAGTCCTGAAACTTTCGAACGGCTACAGCTCAAGGTGCTGCGACTTGTAGAAGAGCATAGGTTCTACAATCATATCCATGTCCAACCTATATGTACTTCCTTTGGAATTTTGGTTTCTTTATCAAGAATTTCTTTTATTGTCCAAATTGTAACAGTGACAAGGATTGCTGGACTTATTATCTACTTTATTTCTATTGCAACAGGATTCTCAAAGAATTAGTCTTTGCATAATCCAGTTAGGGATACTTTGCATTATCCTATGCTCACCCTATAGCCCGACAGTAAGACCCTGAGAACCCTTAACTCCCATTTAAACAAAAGCTAAGAGTGAAGAGAATCATGTTTGTAACTCACCATATACAGTAGCTACCGGTGAACAATCGCGCATTGATCGTGTCATGGCGGAGTTAACGATGTGGTGCTGATACGCACGTTTCTCGGGAGATTTTTTAGTGTGGCCCATTCCCTGTGTCTTAGTACTGGGGTTGGATTGGCTAACTGAACATAAGGTGGCCTGGTACTTCCAGCCAGAAGAGCTGAGAACGTATGTGAACGGCAAGTGGTGCAAGCTACCCGTCGTCAGGACTGGTGAAGAAAAACTGCAGGGAGACAGCCCTATCATAGTACACCCAATGACCCCTGCCGAGGAAGCCTGTGAGATAGTGGCCAACCAAGTGGCGGGCATGTCCTCGGAGGAAGCCGCCATATTATTGCGCGCACCACCCAAAAGATAAAAGTCCCATGCGGAGACCAAGGGGAAGGTACGGGAAGTGTCGCTCGCTCACCAGGCAAATACTGGCACAAAGAGTCTCAGGGCACCATTGCAAGGTTTGCATGTCGTACCGGCTTTGCCAAAAAATGGTTCTTCGGTGCCACTGAGGCTATCAGACGAATAACAAGGCGCGCTATGCTGCAAATTAATCAGAAGCCGGCCCAGGTCCTACGGCTGGGGTAGCCTTCTGGTATTCGCTGCCTCGACGGCAGCGGGTGATGAGGAGAGTCTCCTTGGCCTACGGCTAAACTAGCGCACAGATAATGCCACAATTGGATGAAGTCGACAGAGGCACAGGATATCCCCTTTGAGATTATCAAGGTGTTGCGGGAGTATCGGGCGGTCTTTCCCGGCAAATTGCATAAGGGATTAGCGCGGAAACGCCCTCATGATCATCATATCTTACCTGAAAAACTTACGGCGAGATATGCAATTTGCCTTACGGCACCAGATAACCTTAAATTCAACAATCAGGAGATAGCTGAATTGTCGGACAATAGATGGATAAGACCAACGTATTCGCCTTTCTGCTCTCCTACAATTATTATAGTGCGCAGGCATTACAATGGAGCTTGCTAGTTACCTATAGACGATAGCTAACTGATGACCTTCACGCGGTTAGGAGGCTGAGACGCGGATTGAGCGCTGTAACCTCTTACTGGTGGAATACGAATGCAATTTATTAGCAAATAAACTAGAAATGCCTGCAATTGCTCTAAGATTGGGGCTACCGACAATGCCAGCGCCGGTAAGCGTCACATCCTCGCCGGACCAGCAAAGCAAGAACCATGAATGTAGTGCACGGGACCTACTGCTGCGACTACGCTGCTACCTGCCCCTCGAGCAGGGCCTATGATCGGCATCTAACGTTGGCCCATTTCCTTGAAACAGTAGCTCATATATATCGAGATACAGTTACTCTTAAGTTTCCAAAATATGTTGTCTTTCAATTCGCCCCATTCGGGGTGCTCGCCTCCTAGGCCCTGTAGGGAGAAGGCCTGCACTGGTGCCGGCGCTATCGCCAGCCCCAGTCTCCACGCATTTTCAGGAGCCTCTAGCGTATGCATGTTAATTAGCAGACAAATTGCCTTACTTTGATCCTAATAAGAGGGTCCTGTTCTCCTCCAGTGTTGCGACCGCTTGTAGATCGCTAGCTAGCTATCTTCTATAGGCCACCACCAAGCCCTATTGTAGTGCCTGTGCACTACAACTTCCCCCCTTGCCGGACTGAAGAGACCTACGCCTAAACACATTATTTTTGCCTTTTCAATCTCTGTGCTCTTCTAAAGCTAGCGCCGGGAGCGCACGCGGTGCGCAGCGCTCCCTTCCCCCTCCTCATTGAAGGGTGCCCGTGCTGTAGGAGCTGAAACGTGGCGGACCCGTACGTCTACGCCTCGGAAGGACCCATGTTGTTTCGAGCGGGAAGACGTCTTCGTTGGTTGCGGCGCCACGCGCGAAGCAAAGCCGGGCAGCCAGTAAGGTGACGAGCTGGCTCCCATGTGGCTTGATCTTCAAGGGTCCCGCGCCACTTCACGAGGTACTGGGCTGCATCTCCCGAGCCGCGTTGGTCCATAATATAGTCGACTTCATATTCCTCTGTGGGATTGCTTGCTGCATCCTGGATAGGAGGCCACGCAGCATCGGCTGCCGAGGGAACCAAAGCGGGAGGGCGGGGGCGGTGAGGAACTAGCTGCGAAACGTGGAAAACGTCATGGCATGCATACGTGGGAGGCAGAGCGAGACGGTAAGCAACAGTTCCTATGCGTTCGATGACTTCGAGGCGTCCACGGTAACGGGGCTCGAACTTAGGGAAGCTGTTGAAAGGCGGTAGGTGCTTGCTACTGAGCCAGACCTTGTCTCCCACCGCATACTCCACTGCTGGGCGCTTTGTGTCTGCAGGGTACTTCTGCTGCCATTTCGCCTTCAGGATGTGACTCTGTGCTCTGTCGCAGAGCTGCCGGGAGAGCTTAGTCATCGGAGGAGTGAGCGTAGGAGCTAACGCGCCGACGATATCAAGGTCCGCAGCAGTCAATGGGTTCTCTCCAATCATGACCTCGAAAGCAGAGAGCTCAGTGGATGAATGACTT